AAAAAAAAAAAAAAAAAAAAAAAAAAAAAAAAAAAAAAAAAAAAAAAAAAAAAAAACCGAGGAGTTAGGGTATGCGAGAACGAGTCCTCCGCGCTCCAGAGCGGCTCTCTTGACATACTTTGTATGTTAATGCCACATATAATGTCGCTCGTGTGTTCCTCCCTCCCTCTCTTTATCTTCTTTCGGCGTCTATCTGTTTCTTGCGGGCTCGAGGGGCTGCCGGATGATAAATAAATTAGGCCGCGCTTCGGAACGCCTTAAATTTTAACGAACGCTCCTCTTGGTTCAACTTTTCCAGGCTCGGAGGGATTTTTTTTTTTTTACTTCTCGTCTATGTTACTCGTACTGAAAAAAAAAACAAAAAAAAAAAAAAAAAACACTCGATGACAACCATGCACATACACGCGAACTCGTTTCAGTAGAGCATACAGCCACCGCACAAGTAGATCATACCCGCGTATGGTAAGACGCGTCACCCTGCACAACGGAGTATGCGATAAATATGCTGGGGGTTATAGGGGTATACGGGAGGGATGGAAAAATAAAGGGGGACAAGACAAACGGAAGAAGGAGGTATACAGGGAAACACGGGACAGCTGGCGTACTACGAGGCCCCGGCATTCGCGACACTCGGGCTCCTGGATTCGCAAATTTTTGCTCCCAACCTGTGCCCCCAACAAGAATTCACGGAGCCCCGACTGTATATGCGTATACGCGTATACCCCCAAGCCGGTAATTCACTGGATTTCTCTCCCTTTTTAGCTTCCGTTGGGCGCGCGCGTGCCTTTGCACGCACAGTACACAATATATATTGTGCGGCCGTGCTTTGGAAAATTCACGGAAAAATTCCCATTGAATTGAATCGCACTGATTTTTCAAATTCCACCTACGTATAAGCTTACCTGTGTACACATGGCATAATATACAGTACAACATTATACGGTATATTTATCGGCGCTGCGAGCCCAATGATAAATTTTCGAGGGTTTGTTCCAAATCAAAGTTTTATTCACCCAAGCAAAATAGTGTAGTGTACTTTTTTCACCCCCTCGCCCTCCCACGACCGATTGACGTGTATGAGGTGACGATCGCGAATGAGCCCATTGACGCTCGCTCGCCCGGACACACGCGCACACTTTGTACATATATATATGTGTACAACCGCGGAACCTCCCCCTCTCCCAAGCCCCTTGTTCGACTCGCGGCGAACAGCACAATATCCACGGGCGAGCACCTATATATGTACACGCTCTCGTCAATCCGAGCGCGTCCGTCTTCTCTCCCTTGTGAAAGATCTGCTCTCGCGGCGGCGCCGCGTAATAAAGACGTAATCGTTTCGCAAAGCCCGGCAGCAGTAGCACACACATCAGCCTCCCCCCCCCCTTTTGAGACACACTCACGACTTGACGACTGACGTCTCTCTGCTCCTATCTTTCTCTCTCTCTCTCTCTCTTCGCTTCCTTTAGAGAGAATTACGGCGGTACGGGCCACATATCGCGGGGCTATGAATCGTCCCCTATATCCTCGTTCCCTCCTCGCTGTACTTGTATATGTATACGTATATACGTCCCGACAAAGCTTATGGGACGAGGCTGTATATATTGTTCTCGCGGGTAAAGAGGGAAAAGATCGGTGGAAGTGGAGATAGAGAGAGAGAGAGAGAGAGAGAAATGTAAACGCAAGAGGGCCTCCGCTCCTGTGCAGCAGCCGCGATGCAAAGACGGTATAAATAAGCGGCTGTCGTTTGCGGAAGGAGCAGAGGAGGAGGAGGGAGGAAGAAAACAGCTCGAGGGGATATTGTATATATATATATATATAACATAAAAAGGGAGAAAAGAGGAACGAGCGTGTGTGTGCGCGCCCCCGTTCTTTCTTTCTGCCTCTGCGCGACGACGACGTCCTCGAAAGAAGAGCAATAAGAGATAAAAAAAAAAGAAGAGTCCGGGGAATAAATAAAATCGGGGTGGAGCGCGCGCACTGGCCCTCCTCCTCCTCCTCTGTCCTCTGTACGTATGGGTATACCTACATACACTTCCTTTTTTTTTTTTTTTTTTTTTTTTTTCATCTACTTACCGGGAATATAAGAGTTTAAGGATCGACTTTTGCCTCTTTGCGTGTACGCACGAGTGCACACACGTATGTATATATGTATAGGTTGTACCATTGCGTTTGAGAGCGATCGAGAGAATAGGCCGCGTTTGGATGTATAAACGGTAGCCAAAGCCTTATTTTGCATACGATGGCCGGTTGGCTCGGTGGATCCCTTTTACTTTGCGCCGCTGTTCTGCTCCGCCAGTGCAGGTGGATCTTCTACATCTGAATGTGTGGACGAAAGCTCGAAAAGCTCATTCTGCTCGTGCTATTTTTCATCGACGGCGGTTAATCCGATGGCTGTTTTTTCTAATCAGTTACTGCTCATAGGTTTGCTCATTGCTGTAAAAACAATTTTTCTTTTTCATTCTCCAACCCCACTAAAATTTATATCATACCTTTCGTTTAAATGTGCTTTAACCTATTTTTTTTTTTTTTTTTTTTTTTTTTATACCGATTGGCGTGAAAAATTTTAATATATTATCTCCGGTTGCACCGATCTCTTTGTCCATGTTCTTTTACCTATATGACTGTAATTTCGATTTTTTTAAATACATTATAACACCTGTTGGGTGTCTTTTATTTCAGATAAATGGTACTCGTACTGTGCACAAATTCCGAGCACAATGTTGCTTATACCCTGCATCGAAAAATGTCAACCCAATAACGCCAAAAACGCCTTTTTTAACGCACCGTGTTGTGTTCAACCTGAAAAATCATCAATGTAGCTATACATAAGCGTATTAGTTTCGGTCTGTGCTTTTTTTTTGCGATAATTAGTTATTTTTTGTATATACCACTGATCGCGCAACTACTTCTTACCGACCAATCATTGAGCTCATACCGATTTCTTTGAAACAACCAAGTATTTCTTCATACTCGATTATTTTTTAAAAAATTATATAATTTCTTACTTTGGTAAAAAAAAAAAAAAAAAAAAAACAAAGAAAATATTAATTTCACGAAACGAAAATTACAAAATAGCTGGTATTAAAAAGAAGCCAACAATGACGGTTTAACATGTACCTTGCCTGCGTGTGTAAACTTTTCCATCAAAATTCATGAAAACCGATTTCGCGATAGAAACCAGTAAATATATGTATAGAAGTCACTGCACGCACGCATAGCGCAAATCAAGAAGTTACACGCTCGCAGCTGTGACGCTAAAAGCCGCGGGCAATTTGAATTTCAATCGGTATAGCCTCGAGCCCTAGCAAAGAGAGGAAACACACAAGGGCCCAAACGTCGGTTATAAATACACATCCCCGCGATCGCTCAAGTCGCGGGGACAAACGCGTCCTTCCACCTAAAACACTCACGGAGAGGGAGGAGGGAAGCCGCGAGGATATCCTCGCGGACAAGCCGCGTCAGCGACTTCCCGTTGTAAGTAGGCACTATAAAATAAGACCCGACGGCCGGGCTTGGCAGCGCGTGCACATATATGTATATACATGCTCGCTTGATTCATCGCCGAAACAAAAATCGTCCCAGAGACGCGGCAAAGTGACGTCCGCGCGTACACGCGCAAAAGTATACTCGCGAGACCTTAAGCGCACCGCGGCGCTGGCCACGGCGACCCTTGTATATATATATATATATACATAAACACAAAACGGCTTATCTCTCGTTTCTTTGCCTCCGCTCCTGCGCGTGTCCTTTCAAACGCACTATTTGCATCGAAGAAGCGAAATAAAGAAAGAGAGGAAGATATATACGCGCGCAAGGCGTATGGTTTCTTCTTTTTCTCTCTCTCTCTCTCTCTCTCTCTCTCTACTGGCTTCTTGTATATACGTGTGTGTGTGTGTGTGTGTATACCTACCATGGGTGTCCCTTTCGCTGCTGCCGCCGTCGCCGCCGACGTCCGTGGTAAGAACCGAGGGAACAGAAGCGGAGGCCCCCAGCATCCCCGAGCCTTAAATCTTTATGTTGTCTCCTCGCGGCGGGACCCCCCCCCTCCTCCCATCCTCCGTCCTTTTCTTTATTTGTTTGTTTTTTCCCTTCTTTCCTCTTCTTTTGCCTACCGATCGAGCGCGATCGGTATTAGGACGATCGAAGGGAATGAAAAAGAAAAAGAAATCAGCAGTCCTCGTAACAAACTTTTAAAACACTTGAAACAAAGCAAGCTGGTGGAAAGCTCCTCGTCACATAATATATTGCGTTATAATAATAAGAGTGCAGGGGGCAGGGGAAGGGGGTCGTGCAAATATGGTTGCACATATGCACCAGGCCATAGGGAGGGTAAGCCGCGGAGAGACTCTCTCTCTCTCGCGCGCGCGTGCGTTTAACGCACGAGGAAAGGACGGAGAAATAGAAGCGAAATCCGAGAAAGGGAGGCTGACGGGGTGCGCTACGCCGCGCGGGTCGAGATACGTATCTCAAAGGCCGCGGTGGGCGCGTGCGCTTCTCCCTCTCTGGTTTTTTTTTTTTCTACTTTTTTTTCCCCTCTTCTTTGGCTTGCTGCAGAGCTCGAAAAGTCGCCGAGAAGCTGTATATATATATATATGTACATGTACATGTGCATCAGGTGAAGCGGAGGGAGAAGGGGAGAGAGGATAGCCAAGGAGTAGAGCGTCCACCGCGTTACGCAGCCCAAAGGGGCGGCACATTTACGCATCCTGCGTGCGTATACGTATATATATATATTCATTTTCTCCTCCTTTTAACCCTTTTTCTCCCGGTCGTGCCAATGGGGTTTTGTTTCTTCTGTTTCCTCGTTTTGCGCATTTATTCGCCCCCCCTCTGCTCATCTCCTATATATACCGAATATATAGGTATATACCATGTTTCAATAACACACAGCGCCCTGGAAGCCACACGCGTCCTTTGTTCGGGCCTCCAGTCGTCGGCTCTTTATTATATTGTATACTCTGCTTTCTCCTATACATTTATCTCTAATTAAAGCAATAATCAAGAAATTTTTACCCCCCTACCCCTCCACCCCCCCCACAGACATATCACATTCGTAACTCCCCGTCCTATACAGGATACACGTATGCGGAGCACCGAGCTTTTCTTCTTCTTCCAACAAGGCTACTCGCAACCATATGTGTGTGCGTGCACGTTAAATCTTGGCGACTATATAATATATACATCAGCAGGAACAACGCAAAAGAGCGCGTTCGAGCTGCCCGTGTCTGAGTGGCGCGACAACAAGTGCGCGTCGATCTTCCCTGATGGGGCGTGTTTGCCCTACATGTTGTACCTTACCTATACATATATACCTTATACCTATCGCGACAAAGGAAGGCTTTCATTCAATCCCCGGCCTCCTTTGACGCTCGACGATCGATCATTCGCCTCCTCTTTGCACGCATATATACACGACTCCGATGGCATTTAACTTACACTCTGGCTATCTCGCGGAGAACATTGTTATAATTATTAATGATCGCACGACGGCCCGTATTGCGTGGATATGTGTACATATATAAGTACAGACATGATAGCGAGCTACCAACGGTGACTTATACCGCCCATGTGCAACATGAAATAATGGGGTTTAACATTTCGCTTCGATTTCAACCATACCTGTGCGAAACTGCTGGCTCTATACTTACTTTGATTTAATGGGTAACAAAAATTACTTTTGTGTTTTTCCATAGTGTTGTTTGTTTCCAACCAACGAAAATCGAGAATAATCAATTGTTTGAAAAAAAAAAAAGACAATTCTTAATCCATTATACGTCTTGTGCACGTATATTATGTCGTGAAACGAACAAAGAGGGAGAGGAGAAGGATTATATTGTACGCGATATGATAAACTCTCTGTTGTACTTATATACGTGTACAAACATAATATACAGTACAAGACGTAAATGCCGAAAGTTCACGGATTACGTAAAAGGGCAAAGTGACCGGCGCTAGAGAGTCTCACTCTCTCTCTCTCTCTCTGATGGAAAAGGTATAAAAGAGGCGGGATTGGTGAACCCCCTCCGAGCAAGATGCACGCACCGTATACATATTATAATATATATAGGTGTATATTCTGCGGTGTACACGTGTAATACTTAGACAAAAATCGCATCACGGTTATATTCGCTCGCCCGCGTAGGTGGGTATATATATAATATACGTACTCTCGTATGGTACAGCTCGTGAGGTAAAAGTTGGGAGAGGAGGTATATACCCATATATATATTATTGTGATTAAGGCGAGAACGCGATAAGAAGAGTAATTCCTTGCCCTGCGGCGAAACTTGGCCAGGTCTATCTCAAGAGAGAGAGAGAGAGAGAGAGAGAGAGAGAAAGGAGTACCTATATGCATAATTTATATACATACGTGTATTATGTTAATATATTGGTGGATTGGATATGCGTGTGTAGGTATACACGGTGTTGTGCAATGTGCACTTGTGCAGGTGCTGAAACCCGGCGAGGCGAGCCAACACACAACGAGATCCGCAGCAAGCGGTGAATGACGTGGAGAAAAGCTGAATGAACTTATATATACATATATAAGTACCTTATATTATAATATATATTCTCTTCTTGTCTATATATTATAATGGCAGCTCTTATATACATGTATACTACATACGTCTTGCGCGCCGGGAATGGATCAATCGATCAATGGATGCATATAAATACAAGCGCACAAGCTCTCGAGGTGGATAAATTGCAGTTGCGGGAAGCTTTTTGTTTTCCACGGACATGGTTATTCGTGTAAACTGTTGTTTGGGTGAATATATTATATGAGGTGTAAAAAATTAATCGGTATAGTTTTCCGATATTGTCAGAGACACACACGCAAGTGTGCAGATGTGTTGTAAAATAATATACGCATCTGCGAAACTTTTAGCTCGTACAATTCTAATCCAACTAAAATTAAATGATTAAAACACGCGACCCCGTGCGATAAAAGAGAGTAATCCTATGGCAGGTATATATATATATATTTCTCAAAAAGCTTATTGTAGGTACGTATATTATGTATGTATCTTACACCGCCACTCTCCCGATACGGCGTATAATGACGCTATATATATCTTCGATTTTACAGAGAAGAAGAAGAAAAAAACAACCCCCAACATTCATATACAAATCTTTGTAATTACCTTCGTGGAAAGTTCTTTCGATCTCCACGTAGTAATTGCAAGCGAATGGCTGAGGGGAGAGGGTAGGTGGGGGTGTGGGGGCATTGAAAATGCTTTTTGCTCCTTATCATTGGGACTTAAAGCTCCTGGTTGGATTACCCTACAATGAGACGAGAGGCTCGGATACCCACCTGGTAAAAATGTCCCCCTCCCCACCCCGCTCCAGTGTATACCTATATACTTCTTCTTCTTCTTCTTCCTTTCCTCCCCCCTCCCCACCCCCCCCGTTTAGCTTCAGCGCCGGCCATTGGAGCCCGTTACACGAAAGAATAAGGGGAGGAGAGACGCGATCGTAAAGATTATCGCGCGGCTTCTCTTTCTCCCTCGCCGAGATAAGAGCGCCTCTCGCTACCCCGCGGAAGAAGAAGGAGGAAGATAGCGCTAGGAAAATTATGGCCACCGTTTCTCCCCCACCCCTCCGCTCTCTCTCTCTCTCTCTCTCTTGGCGCATCTTTTTATTTCGTCTTAATTAACCGGGACCCGCTGCTGTACTTTGCTCCTTATCTATACATACACATAGTTGCCAAGGTGCAGAAAGGAGGGGATAACAAGGGAAACGTGGTGCGTGTATATATAAAAGAGAGAGAGACTACAAGAAGGATGTGTAACCCGCCTATACAGCTCGATCGTGAAAT